CGGGCCGGGCCGCCCGCGGGGAGGGGGCGGCGGGGCTGGGGGCCGGCGGCGGGGGCGGTGGGGTCGGCGGGGCGGGCTCGGCGCGCTCCTCCTCGGGCAGCTCGGGCAGCCTCCCGCCGCAGGCCGGGCAGAAGCGGAACGCGGGCTCCACGGGGCGCCCGCACTGCGGGCAGAACCGGCCGGGCCTGCGGGACACTGACAGCGTTACCGCCCGCCCCGCGCCCGCCACCGCCCCGCGCCCGCCGCCGCCGCGCTACGCACCTCGGGGAGCCGCCGACCGGCCCCGCCCGCGGCCGCTCCGGGGTCGGGGTCGGGGTCCGTGTCGGGGTCGGGGTCCGTGTCGGGGTCCGTGTCCCGGCCCCCGGCCCGCGCCGCCCGCGGACCCGCCGCCCCCGCCCCGACATGGCCCGGGCCCGCCCGCCGCGCCAACAACCGCGCATGCGCCGGGAGCGGCCCGGCCCTGGGGGGCACCGGGCTGTGAGGGGATGGTGGGGTGTGAGGGGACACCGGGGTGTGGGGGATACCGGGGTGTGAGGGGTTAACGGGGTGTGAGGTGACACCAAGGCCCTGAGGGGACACCGCGGTGTGGGGGAACTCCAAGCTTTCATGGGACACCGGGGCTGTCAGGGGACATAGTGGCTCTGAGGGGACACAGGTGCTGTGAAGGGATACCTGGGGCTCTTTGGGGACATCGGGGCTCTGAGGAGACACCAGGCTTTGAGGGGACACGGGACTCAGAGGGTGCTCTGGGAGGGCACTGGGGCTCTGAGGGGACACGGGGGGCTGTGCGGGGGCTGTGAGGGGACAGGGCTCTGAGGGTGCTCTGAGGGGACACGGAAGGCTCTGAGGGGACTCTGGGGCTGTGAAGGGACTCTGGTGCTCACAGCGGTCCCGTGGCCCGTGGGCTCTCCCTGCCGGGCCAGGCAGGTCAGGCCACCCTGGGCGGGAGCTGGGGAAGGAGGCTCAGGGGTTCCCTCCAGCCATGCCCCCAGCGCTGCCTTCCAGGCCCGATGTTTGCTCCTTACTTCAGAAAAGACACCAGAAAGCTGCTTAGAAACGGCCTTGGGACTGTGGGACAGGAGCTCACAGGTTAATGAGTGTGGGAGTTAATGTGTGGCACAGGGCTGGGATCAGTACCTGTATTCAGTGTTTGCTTCTGTGTATCCCATCCACTGGCTACATTCTACACCTATAAACCTCAATCAGGCACCAATGTACTTCCATAAAAGAGGACTTAAACCTTTCCCTTCAGGTGGGCTGAGGCCAGGGTTTGCCTGGGGAAGGTGCCAGGCCCCTGAGCCCCCAGGGCAAGGGGCAGCAGGGGGCAGTGGGGACCTGGAGTTTCCTGTCCCACAGAACACCTCACACGTAACAAGGTTGTTTTTCAAAGCCCGTCCCAGTGAGCCGTGAACACCACGGCCTGGGCTGTGAGCAGGAGGCAAAGGGGATCTGGAAGGAAGTTCGTACCATGAGGAGCTGAGTGGAGCAGCTGCTCCCACCAAACCTCAGCGGGAAGCAGGAGTGAGCATGAAATAACCCCTGGGGTGTGATGCCCTGACTGAGCCCACCATGGAGCTTCAGGGCTTGGAAGAGGTGTCTCCAGTCGGGGTGTCCTGCAGAGACCTCATCCTCCCACGGGCTGGTTGCCCCTTCCCAACTGCTCCCAATTGTTTTCCTAACATTCACTAAGCACACAGAAAAGTCCCAGCAAAGACACAAGTCTGCCAAATGACTCTGGGAAGCTTAGCACGTGTTCAAGTTGGTTTCTGTGGCCTGTTTCTTGGATTTTTTTGAACCAACTGAACACTGTCAGGAGCAACAGGACAGGCTGGAGGGGTTCTCCCATTCCTCCCCACCATGTCCATTGGGACACTGTGCTCCACAGTCACTCTTTTCTTTCCTCTGGCATTGCAGGTGGCAACAAGGCTGTGCTGAACTGCCTCACTTCACTGCCACGCCCCTGCACAACCTCTTCAGTTCCTGTAATTCCCACATCCCATGCAGGTATGGATGCAATTCCTTTGTTAACCAAAGCACCCCCTCAGAATTTTGACAGAAAGGAAACAGCCCTTCATCACATTAGTTTGAAATTTTCTCTACAGGCTGGTGGGCGGTGTTTTGTCTTTCCCTAATTCTTGAACCAAGATCATTATCCCAAAGCTCTCTGCAGTGACCAGTGGCTCAGCTGGGAATGCCTTGGTCCAGCAGATTTATTAACCCTTGCAGATTTATTAACCCTTTTTAACTTTTCAAAGCTGTTAATTCATGATCATGGCTCTATAATTTCATTGGTGGTTGCCTAGGGAACAGTGATCACGACTTGATTACATTCAATTTGGGCAGAGAAGAATCCATTCAGTAAACAGAAACATAGGGTGCATTAAAAAGTCAAACCCCGTAAAGACAAGAAAAACTGAGAAAAAACAGTGATGGGGAAAGACAGATAGAAAATTGTAGTAAAAGGCAATTCCTTAGGATTTATTTCAAGAGTCACCAAGCCAATACCAGAGAAGAGAAACCCCCACCCTACTTCAGTGGTGAATTGAAACTAATAATTAGCAATAAAGAAGAAAGCCATAACAAATGGATGAAAAGGGAAATAATTAACAATTTTCTCTATTTCATAACTGGTAATTTGCATCAGCAGGGTGAGCTGGGTGCCTGCAGTCACTCTGTAGGGAATTGTGTCCATGGCATTGCACCTCCAGCTTGTCTCAGCAGGAATTTGCTCCCTCATTCCTGCCTCGGGCATTGAAAACCAGCCTGGATTTTGGCTGCAAAGGGGTTGGGTTCCTGGAGAGCCTCTGGAGAGCAGGATGGAGCAGATCCCAAGGTCAAACTTTAGTGCCTTGAATCTTCAGGCTCTCAAATCCATGGGTAAGTGTGTGAGCTCCAACCCTTTGGTGTCCCAAAGGACTGTCAGGGGATGCAGGAATGGGGGAGGAATTGGGGAGCTCCTGGGGCTGGTTCTGGGGCCAGTCCCAGGCTCTGGACCCTGGGGAAGTGCCACGGGACAGGGGGGCCCAGCACAACCTCAGCAGGGGTGGGGGGACCTGGGCCTGATCAAGGGCTGAGTCAGAGCCAGCAACAGGGATCTTGTCCTTGTCCTCCTCAGCCAGGAGTGGCCTGGGAGCATCCTGGACTTCCCACAGCCCCAGCAAACCAACTCTCTGTGTGTTCCCTTGTTCCCTCTGGATCCATTTCCACGCTGGATCCCCACGGCAGAGGCAGCCTCCCACAGTGGGCTCATGCACCGTTTTGGAAGTGCTTCCTGTTGGTCTGAGCCAGCTCCAGCCCTGTGCTGTTCCTTGAGGCTCTGCTCTAGGGAATGAAAATACTCTTCCCTTTGTTTCCCCCTCAGTGACCCCTTGCAGGTCTCTTCTCTGCCAGGCTGTGACATGCACCCAGCCTGTCCCCCACTGTTAATACACCTTAACGTCCTGAAGAGCTTTAGGAGAGAGATTTTGTCCAAGTTTTGCAAAAATTACTGTTTATATTTGATCTGATCCACCATTATTTACATATTCCATGTCATTCTAGCGAGAATTCCCTCCTCCAAGCCTTGCTGGATGTTGCCTCAGCACTGCATGTTCTTTCATACATGTTCTAATGCCATATTTTCTTCCTTCTTCCAGCATATCCGACAGGTACCAAAGCCAGGTTTAGGAGTCCAGTGTTTCCTGGATCCTTTGGAGCCCTTCCTAGAAATCAGCCTGGCCTTTGCCACCTCTCCTCTGGTGTTGGGAAGGTCAGGGACCTGCTGCCTGTGTCCTGCTGCAGGGTCTGCCCTGAGCATGTGCCAGCCCAGTAGTTTTTCAGCAGAGTTCCCACTTCTGATGTGTTTGCAAAAATACACTGCTGTTAATTCTTATGTGGTAAGCGAATTACACTCAAAATATATTTTCATCTCAGTTAATGCTGTTTTTAGCTTGTGGGGAATTTGCATCTTTTGCTGTTTTCCTGGTTTGAAATAGATAATGCTAGGATTTGCAGAATTTTTATTTTATTCCATTTTAGTTTTACTACTTATTTGTGTTTTGACTACCTTGCTTTCCTGTTAAACCATCCTCCTGCTGATTCACCATGGTATTTATTGCATTAGGATCTGTTTTGTAGGAGCCACACATCCACACAGGCTAGACAGTGTCTCCATGTTTTTTGCAAGTATTTTCCTCTGTATTTCATTGAGTCACAGAACACCAAACTGATTTGGGTTGGAAGGGACCTCAAAGTTCATCTTGTTCCACCCCCTGCCATGGGCAGGGACACCTCCCACTAGCCCAGGTGAATCCAAGCCCCATCCAACCTGGCCCTGGACACTTCCAGGGATGGGGCAGCCACAGATTCTCTGGGCAACCTGTGCCAGGGCCTCACCCCCCTCACAGAGAAAGATTTACCTCTGGATGATTCCCCACACCACTGCCGACTCACCTCACCCACCACCCTTCACTGAACCCTCCTATGATGGTCTCATATCAAGGGCTGATACCCCAGGTCTGTTGTCCTTTAGCCAGAGCTCATCTTTCCTGGAGATGCTCCCTCTATCTCCAAAGTTTCTCCAGTTTATTTCTAAGCCAAAATACAATCCCCATAGGCAGCAACCTGCCTGTCCTCACTGAGCAGCAGCACTGCCTGCCCTGCTCCAGCTTCCTCTACAGCAGTGGGTTAGGGGAATTTTTAACTCTCTCTTGGTCTTGGAAGAGGGAAACATAAATCTCTTTAGGAAGAGATCCACCTCCCTGTGGCCTTTTTGTGCTGAGAGTGGTCTCAGAGAACCACAGAATATCCTGAGTTGGAAGGGACTCATTGAGCCCATCTCCTGGTCTGTGCTGCTGTGCCCTGCAGGAAAGTGCAGGTGGCTGGGATGGCAACAAAGATCCCGATCTCCTCCTGCAGGAGTTCCCTTGGTGCCAGCTCAGTTATGTCTCCCTTATCTCATTCCTGGCTTCCCAGCACGCTGCCAGCAGCCCCTTGGATTTAGGTGCTGGCAGAGATCCTTGAGCTTGACAGAGGGCCCAAAGCTGCCAGTTCTTCAACCTCTTAATGAAACAAGGCTGTTCCTTTGCACTTACACACCTCTTGGATCCCGAAGTGAAGTGATGCCACTTGGGCAGCCATGCTACAGTCCTGGAGAGGCCTCGGGAGCCTTTCAGCTCCAAATTGCCAGTTCCAATCCAGCAGCTGCAAGAGGTCCTGGCTGTTGGCAGGCCCCTGAGAAGTGGCCCTGGGGACACCAGATGCCTCTGGAGGAACAAGTGAGCTGCCCTTGGGCAGTGCAGGCAGAGCCTGCCTGCGTGTCCCAGGCCATGCTGCTTCCTCAGCTCCATCCACCACCACTCCAACCACAGTGGGATGCTCTGGCACAGCAACAGTGGTAGCAGAAGTTTCCAGCCACATCTCCTCCATGCTGGTGGTGCACCAGGGCCTGTCAAGGGCACTGAGCTCTGTAACCCCCAACAAGGGCACAGGGGCAGAGCAGGGACATCCTGAAGAGCTTCCTCACGTGTCATCCTTTCCAGCCCATGGAAATGTTCCTTTGTCTGAGCACTGCAGGGGGAGTCTGTTTTCCTGCACATCTCCCCAGCACTTTCAGAGCAAAGTGACACACCAAGAGACTGCCACAACCTGGCAGCCTAGGCTGGGGGACTGCAGGCTGGCATGCCTTGAGGGGCAAGGGAAGAGGGAATCCACCCCTGGGGGAAGGGAGCCCAAGAGATCTGGTCCTTGGCCAGTCTGGGGTAGTGGAAGGTGCTGGATCTGTTCCCCTACTTTCATCAGAACCACCATCCTGGCATTTCCCTCCTGGGTCACACTGCTTAAGGGTAAAAAATGCCAGTCCCAGGATTGCACCACCCAGCACTGCAGCAATGTTAGAGTGGGAAGAAACTAGGAGAAGATGGGAAATGCTCTCAGCAGAAGTCTGTGTGTTTATCCCTGACCTGCAGCTCATGGGACATGATATCCATGGAAACCCTCTCTGCATGTTCCCAAGCCAGCAGCTGCCCTGGAGGAAGGTGCCACTGGGCATCAGGGGCTGTGTGCCCTGCTCACACTCCCTCCTCCCTCACAGGGAGCAGCAGGAGGCTGGGATGGAGGGCAAGGAGCAATCCAGAGGTGGTGGCACAAGGCTAGTAGTGAACCCCAGCCAAAGTGCTTGCCCAGATACTGCCCAGGGTGGCAGGGCCATGGGGAAGGCAGAGGAACTGAAGGAGGAATTGTTTAGCAAAGTTCCTCTTCCCAACATCTGCATCGGCTGCTGGCTGAGAGATGAGGAACCAGTGCACCTTGTGTTGGGTCCATGCTGGCATGGCTGCCCTGGGGGCTCACCAGCACATCCCCCCACAGCACCTCTGCCAACCTGGCCTGCATTTTGGGTGTCTTGTGGATGGGGAAGGGGAGGCATTGCCTCGATGGACAGATCATTTCCTGAGCCAGCCAGCACCTTTTAAACAAGTTAAACCCTGAAGCCAGGTATGGGATGGGCAGGACTGGGGTTTCTGGACCCAGACAGTCTGAAACAGCAGGATGGATGTCCCCACTGGGGCTGCCCCTTGGGAATAACTCCATGGGAGATGGGGGTGACAACGGCCACCAAGGGAAGATGGTAGAGAACAGATTGAGCTGTGATCTCAGAGATGCCAGCAGCATGGATGGGGATGGCAGGCTTGGCACAGGGGCTCGTTCCTCCTTCCAGGGGCTGATGGGAGAGCTCAGAGAGGGACAGCCCCCAGGCAAGTGTTCCCTTGCTGTTTGATCCCTGCTGCCTGATTCCTCACTGCCTGATCCCTCGATGCCTGATCTCTCACTGCCTGATCCTTCTCTGCCCCACTGCCCTTTTCAGTGTCCCGTGGATTTCTCCTGCGTCCCTGCTCAGTCTCCTGCACACTCCCAGTCTTGGGTGTGAGCTGAGTCACTGTGATGCCACTGCACCTCATTGCAACATCTCCCATCATCTGTTCTAGGAGCCATGAGGAGCCTGTAAATAGTTTCTTTGGCAAGATTTTTGTTTTGATCTAGTGGCTCAGCTTCCTTCAAAGACAGGCATGGAGAGGCACTGCGTGAGGCAACAGGGAAGGTCATGGGGAGAGCTGTAATTGGGGAGGATCAAACTCAGGCTCGAGCAGGGGTGTGGGCGGTGGCTCAGCCCAGGCTGCCACAAGGCTGTGGCATGTCACCGCAGGCACTGACTGTCCCAGATCCTCCCCAGCCCCACGGTCACCTGTGAGTACTTGGCTGGCTGCTGGCAGCATCTGAGACAGGGCCAGGGGCCTGGGATGGCACAGACCCAGGGCGAGACCTCCACCCTGCCATTCCTGTGGTGATCACAGCAGGATCCTGTGCAGCATCATGACATGGGACGGGGGAAGGCAAACCAGGAGAGGATGAGCCCTCAGCCAGGCCGTGCTCGGAGGGAAGGCACGTGCCATCCCCACACCCAGCCGACCTGCATCATCCACGTCACCAAGCGCATGGGTGGCTCCTCTGAGGGACAACAACTTGCTAAGCTGGGCTGGCTCCTGCCTCCGAGCCCCGTAATGAGCTTTGCTGGGAGCTGCTAAGGAGATGAGTGTGAGCAGGGAAGCTTTGCTGTGGTCTGGTGGCTGCTTGGTCACCCCGGGCAGACAGGCTCCAGCTCCACTGGTGTGTGTGGAATGAGCTGGGGGAGTGCAGGGACACGGCTCCTGCCTGTGGCTCTGCAGATGGGCACCGAATCCAGGCGTCTCCCACTGCAGCCCTGTGGGCGATGGGACCTGAGCACAGGCCAGGCAGTAAGAACTTCTACTGCAGTCCCCTGTCCAGGGCCAGACTTGCACCAGGTGCACCGGGAAGCCAAAGCTCAGTTTTGGCCATTGCCAGGAGCAAAGTCACCAAGGCAGGGAGTGGGGTGTCCCCTCCCAGCTCGGTGGGTCCCAGCGGTGCAGTCATGGAGTGTCACTGTTCACACGTGCCTATTTTTAACAGCAGTGCTGCTGATTCCTGCTCCCTTACCCAGACAGCTTCACCCGTGCCCTGGTTCTCAGCTCATTTCCTCCTCTCCCGGGGCCAGCCAGGGCCCAGCCAGTGGGTACGAATGCCCAAGATGAAAAGATCAGATGGGAATGCTGTCTGCAAAGCAGTCATGCTCTATGCCATCACTGCAGCATTCAGCTGAGCAGAGACCTCTCCAAATTATAGAATCACAGAATTATAAAATCATTTAGGTTAAAAAATCTCTCTAAAATCATCAAGTCCAACCGTTCCCCCAGCACTGCCAAGGCCACCCCTGAATCATGTCCCTAAGTGCCTCATCTACATGATTTTTGAACACTACCAGGGACTTCACACTTCCCTGGGCAGCCAGTTCCAATGCCTGAATTTTTCTCTTTATTACATGGGAAAAGGCAGTGGCTGGGGGCTGCCCCTTCCCTGTCTGCTATCGCCTGGGGTGGCTGAGGGTCACCAGAGCACCCCAAATGCCCCTCAGCACTTCTCAGCCACAAGCAGCCGCCCGTGGGGCACCTTGTGCCCCGCGTTCACACCGCAGAGCTGCCTCCGGCCGCGGCTGTCATTGTCCCCGTCCCCCGTCCCCCCTCCCCACCCTCTTCTTCCTCCTCCCTCTCCCGCACTGTGCAAACTTTCCTCCCTTCGGTGTTCCCAGCACCAGGAGCTCCTTCTCCTGCCAACTTGGCACCGGCAGCGGGAGCAGACGGGGCTGGGCAGGGCTGGCACAGCGGACAGGGCAGGCGGCCACAGGCCACCGCGACCCCGCTCCGCTGCCGGCACTTTCATCCTTATCTGCAGCGTTCCGCTCGGCCCCTGGAGTGGCCCGGGAGCGCCGCGTTCCCACGCACGGGAGCTGCTCCCAAAAACCAGGGCACCAGGGCAGGGCCG